TTAACCCGTTTAGATTTCTGACCTGAATGTAATGAGACGGGGCATGTTTGAAAGACATAAAACATTCAAACTCAAGGCTGTTAAGTTTGGAAATTTCTAGAAGATTTCAAATTGTATCATGTTTTTAGTTTCAAAAAACTTCAAGCAGGAGACCGCAGAAAGTCATGGCAACAAATGAGCTATACCTACAAGATGTATTTACTATGGAAATGGGAATTTTTCCATTTATTCATTTATTGCTTTTCATAATTCAAATGAAGCTATATGCAAAGCATACTTATTCATACAGTTTTGATTTCCTAGAAACATTAATCCGGCCGTCATAAAATCGGAACGCAAAAAACGTTAATGGGTTTCTCAGACGTTTTTGGGTGACAAAAATAACTTCTTTAAACTGTTCTAGTTCATTCTAATTACATTGAATCGAACTGAAACTTTGCCGATAGCTGCCTAGATATTTTATTTACAATTTTGTACATTCGATTGTTTTGGTCCACACTTGTTTGCTTTCATCACATCAGTGTAGAGTCAAGCGACAATATCCATGAATAGTACAGTGCTTTTACATTAAAATCGTACAAAATAGCACTGATGTAACAATACAAAACTTAAAGATATAGCATTAATTCGCGCAGTGCTGTTTCATACGATATCTGCACTCCCAGCTCGTGGTCGATAAAGATATACTTCTTTTTGTTAACAAATTGACCGAGTACAGGCCCTGATCATCAATCCCGCTCCACGTGTATCTGGATATTTTTGAAAACGGATTTTTTCTTTGCGGACTGGCCTCGAAAACGCAACTTTTCGAAAACGGATACGTGTGGAAGGGCAAAAACGAAGCGAAAACTGAAAGCTGAACTCGGGTCTTTTATTTTCTTTTGTTTAAAACAGATTAGGTTCTCCATGTAAGCCTGTTAGTCACAAAAGATGCAGTTATTTATGATTACTAGGGGACATGCACAAAACCTATGACCAAAGCACTTGAAAGCCTTAGAACCATTCGATTGTGATGATAAAGTGATTATGACAGTGATGATGTTCGTAATGATAAGAGGGACTTTAACATTTGAAGTGAAAAATAATTTCTCTTTGGAGTTCTGTTCGTTGGAGATTTCATTCAAAATATTTTCAGTAAAGTCAACTCATCCACAGGAAAGACAGACTTTGAAGGCGCGAAACCCCCCAAGTGAAGTTATTTAYAGTGATGCATGGTAATGATGGTAATGATAGCGACTATGACGCATCCTAATAAAAAGTAACGACGGTACAATAATGAAATAGGATATGTAACAATGATGGTGTATATATTTTTATCTCTAACAGATCTTTCTACAACACCTGCTGATAGTTGTTGCAAAACAAAACCAGCTTGTTTACACAATTCAACTCATGAGGGAGTATCCTTATATACAGGGGTAAGTCACTCGCAAACCTAATATATATCATAGAGCTATTTTCATGTTCGGAAAGTCGGGATTTCAATCAAAAAAATACTCTCAAACAATCGAGAGGAAGTTAAAAACTTGAGAATCTTGGAGATTTTGGTCGCGAAAAACAAACGTGTAGGTATTTATGGCTTAAGCTATTAAAATCTACCCTTTTGATCTTTTCTCTTTTCACAATACATCAAAATTGCAACTCATGATCATACCGTTGTAAATTTGACGGACGAACAAACACGTATTTATAGTTTCAGCCAACTTTGGGAATTCTCTTTTTTCAATTTTTCTGGCTCTTTTCATGCAATAATGGATCCTTTTTTGAGATAGCGATTATTTGCCTTTTGGTCTAGCTTCGGTACAAACATCTTTTGTTCATAGGTGTTGTTTGTGCCGAAGCTAGACACAATGCATCTTGTTATTAAAACGAACTCAAATATACAAAAAACAAATCTCCGTGATGTGCTACAGTGTTGAAAACCTTCATTATGTACTTTTTTTGCTTTCTCTTACTTGCACAAATATATATTATGATTATAAAGAATTCTTAGAGATCTTTGAAACGCTGTGCGTCTCCCGACAAAAAATCGCGCAAGAGACAAATAATTGTCATTTTTGACTTTGACAAACAATGACGCATTAAGATTTTAGAAGATAGTCCTCTTTACAGTTCCGTGCGCCATCTTGTAAGGTAGCCATACCTTTGCATCTAAGCGAGACGAACGATGAACTTGCAATGACAGAGACACGGCTTTTTATAACATCTTGAACAATTCTCACTTCGATGTAAAGGCACGGCTTCCTTTTAAGATGGGGCAGGGAACTGTGAAGAAGAAGGACGTAATGTGCTCACGTACGTTATGTACGCGCAGTCAGTCAGCTTTTTAAAAAAGTGCAGCGCAATCTAAAAAAACGTACATTATAGGGTGCAATTGATTGCTATAGTGCTAAACAAACCAAGTAAAATCTATTGTATTTCTCTTATCATATAGAAAATAAGAGTAATTTACAGTTTCTCGATGTAAATTTTCTTGTATACCAAGCCAGCAAATGACATCAACTCCGCGTTTTAACATCTTGTTACTATGTTATAAAATCATATTTAAATATCTTCCAATCTTTTTGCAGGCAAACTTTAACTTACCAGTCCTTCGTGAAACATGAACCAAGCTCAAATGAAACGGCCGAGAATGTTACAGTAGAATGGGTACTACCCTCTTCTGTTTCCTACCAGAGTTACGAATCTCTGTCCAGTGCCAAGACACCTAACGATGTATCATCAAATATCAATACAATTACCATGAATGTAGGTAGCTATAATCCTTCTTAATGTTTTTCCCGTTGTTGTAATTCCTTTCTCTTGAGGGGTACATTTAAGGAATTGTCAATTCTTAGCGTTCGTATATCAAGTTCTGGATGCACGCGGGAGGTTACTAAGTTACTAAGGTTACTAAGCCGAGTGCAACTCTAGCTTCTTGAGAGCTTAAGCAACCTCCCAAGTGCATCCAGAACTGGATTTACGCACAACCAATTGACCATTGCTTTTATATAACATAGCAAAACCGCCGCTCAATCACGCCAGCGTGCACCATCCATTTCTAGATGCACGCTCGCGACATTACTTCCTTTACTCTTATTCTCACTGGAGATGGTGACGCATAGGTTAAGGGGC